ACACACACACACACACACACACACACACACACACACACACACACACACACTGTCACCAAGAGCCTCCAGGGAAAGCAAAGCTGACACCCGTGAATAAACGTGTGCTTACTGGATTATCATTCTGTCTCTTGCCTCTTCAGCAGCTGTGTTCATGTAAACCGTTGTTGTTCTTGTTCTGGTATGGTTGTTGTTGTTGTTGTTGTTGTTGTTTTGCTTTATTTTTGTACAGAGAGTGTAAAGTAGGAGAAATTCCTAAGTATGACTTGCAAGAGTCTTGGGAAAGGACACGCAGTCCCGTGAGGTATTGACCATCTCTCTGTCATCCTCAGCCTGGGAACATGTTACCTGCGCAAGCTTCTCTGAGCTTCCTTCAGTAAACTATCAAAATCCAGAGAGTCATACTTGCTCTTGGTGGAAGCAGGGTCAAAGTCGTCTGAGTTTGAATCTGAAAGAAACACAAACCAGGTTAGATGCACGCTTTGTTGATGACCTTTAATGCAATTCAAGATACCTGGTTCAATTACAATGCAGCTAATCAATATACTTAAAAACAATGCCTACATTTTGTTGGATACATGTAAACAGAGAAGGGAGTAGTTAACTTTCAAAAACAAAAACCTATAGTTCATCGCATTTCTAAAAACTCAAAAGTACACAGGATTAGTAGACTTTAATATTTGTTTAATATTTAAGATCTTTATAAGTGGCCATTTTCTCTTATCTTGGCATTTTAAATGGTTTGCCAGTGGATCTCCAATAACTTAGAAGCAAAGGTACAGTAGAAGCTGGAAATAATCTTCCCATTCAATGGATTTAACTTTATTGAGCATAAAATTCTGTTGAATAGGAGGGAGAAAATTCCTACTATAATGTCTTGGACTTTTCACCTAGTTCAAATCAGATTTTATGGAACATTATTTATCCCACACATTATTTGAAATAAATCTTTTTCAATATATGTGTTTAGCAATGTGTATAAGGTAAAATCCTGTTAAACATGTCTAACTACTCTCCATTCGTATCTACAAAAAAGGTAGACAGTTGATGCAGGTCTTACAAGTGAGAAAGTGTTTCTTGGAAATATAACCAAAGCCTCCTCTGAATGAATTACTTTCTTGTCAAGTATTTATTTGAAGGGAAATAAGGCCTTTCAGGAACAGATTAACAATTCTACTAACCATATAAGCATTTCGCATTCCTTCTAAGCTAAGTTACAGTACAAAGTTCTAAGTTGGGGGAGGACAAAAGCAGAGAATATGGAAACATAAATCCCAATGTGAATACACGCTTGGCTGAGGCTGGGTGTCCAGCACCGGGGAACTATGTAGAACATAAGGCATCAGGGGACCAGGAAGGGCAATTTGTACCTTTGTCCTAGAAATAATTTAGAAAAGAATTCTGTTGCCTCTGTTGGATTATTCTAATGGTAATCCAGAATTTAATGCTCTACATTAATGTTGATAAATATTCAGAAAGTTTTGAGACACTACTTCTCAGGAGTTTCTTGAGTGTGCTGTACTTCACCTTGACACCCACTTAAACAAATGTACACATTATGCCTCTTAGTTGGCATCTGAAAGAGATATTCCTGTTGGATAGGAAAGGTCATGTAGGAGGCAACGGCAGGAACCCCACCATGCCCTCTCATATTGACAAGAACATGTTGGAACACAGTAAGATATGATGAAAAATATGGAAATAAACTAAAATCTACTCTATTGTCAAAAGAAATTGCTATAAATAATGATCCCATATCTGTATTCTTAGCAACTGGAAAACTGTTGGCACAATCTAAGTTCTCAAATTAATGTTGTTAAATAGAGGCATTAATCTCAGGTACATGCACACTATAAAAACCATGCCTAAAAATAAATATTCATGTAGGACCTGAGAATTAGTTACCAATCAATGCCAAGGAAACAGATATTCAATATCCGATGTTATAATATACTGTTTGAGTAAATAAAGAATTGATGATGAATGGATTATTTCACTTTTCATATATGCCTGAACAAGATTCCTGTGTATAATTAATACTTAATCAAAGCTTTTATATTCTTAATAGAAATTCACCATCTGATCCCATCTTACCTGTATAACATTTTTTAAATTTTAGATTTGTTTGCAATATTTTATATGCATGAGTGTTTTGCCTGCTGATATGTAAGTGCATGCCTCATCCAGTGGAAGCCAAAAATAAGGTCTTAGATCCACTTAAACTGGAGTTATAGATGGTTGTGAGCCATCATGTAGGTGCAGGGAATCAAACCATGCCTTCTGAAAGGGCAGTAAGTATTACTAACTGCTGATCCATATCTCCAGCCCTGTTTAGCATTTTTAATCAAGGTATTTTGTTAGTAAGAACCATTTGCTTATATGGCAGTAGACAGAACCAGCAGATAGAAAGTCCGTCTTCAACTCCTGGCTTTATCACTATAGCCCCAATCAATTCACGTGAAATTTCCACTCTTATATATAAATAGTAGTTGGAATCACTATATTTTAGTACTGTAGACAACATTTATCAGCTTTGTGGTAAGAGAACTAGGATGTCTTTGGAGGGGTAGCTTCATTTGGAGAAGCAAATAAAATAGAAAAAAAATATCTACCTAAAATGGTAGCACAATTTTCCACTTCAGTAAAATTTAATATGTATTATGTTGGTTTTGTTTAATTTTTAACATAGCTATGAGCTTCCAATCTTTTTAGGTTTGGAGTACACTATTATATTCCTTTTATTTAAGGATCATATGTGGCTTGAAACATTTAGCCTAAATTCTTCATGAAAATCAAGATGAGACAAATGAAATTTTCATTGATCTCCAAAGCTACAACCTAATGTTAATTCTTCTGTTTAAAAACAATCAAAAATCGTTAACTTCCTAATTCTCACACTTTTAGCTATAACCTATTTATTTGATATTAGACCTCATGATGTCAAATTCTCCACAGACATTTAATACACTTCCACAACAGTATGAGTTATTTTAAAAAGATAGAATCAGAAGCTAATGAAGCGGAAATGCTTATCCAAGATCAGCAAAGAGTCAGGTCTCAAACACTGGGGGACATGATTGCAATGCTGAGGCTCTTTTGTCTACCTCATAAATATGGTCAGAGCATCCACACCTTGATGCTTCTGATATGCTTTAGGGAGCTTCAATATCTCATGGTATTGCAATGTGCATCAAGCATGTTTTTCAAACAAAAAAATAGTGAGTGTGCCTAGCAATGGCAAAGCTGCCATGGCTGCTGGCTAGGCAGGAAGATAACGAGCTGAGAAGGAACATTCTTCTTAGAAATATTTCAGCCAGTTCAATTTGGAAATACCATCCAGTCCTCCCTCTGCCATGATTAATCGTGATCTAAAGACCCCTCTAGGTAACTTGTTTTAAACTCTAGATGTTGTGAGAGAGTGGAAACACCCTAGCCTTCATCACTAAAGAAAATAAGTCAAATCAACTCAAGGCTTCAATCTGTCTTGACTGTTTTTATCAGCCAACATTTGAACAAATGGCTTGCCAGGTTTTATATTTTCATCCCTAGGCCTCTATCTCTCTAGTACTCAGCTCTTGCTTCCCTGTTTCCCTCTATCTATTTAGCTTGTGAAGTGAATTATAGCATATTTCCCTGAACAATGCACAGCACCTATATCAATTATTCCAGGAAGACGCAACTGTGCTGGAAGGGAGAAAGAAATCCCAGTATTTGGTATTCACATTTGTCTTTATATAGTATCAGAGCAATTGTGAATGGATAGATAATAATGCTGAGGAATAGATGTGTATGCTAATTTTATCCTTACTATGAATTAATTTAAAATAATCATGATATACACATTTGCCACCTTTCTTCCTTCCTCAAAGAATTTAGGGGCATATAATGCACATGTTAGATAGGGAATGGCATGCAATGGAACAAAATTAAAATTAGAAAGGAAATTAAGATGTCCATTGTACCATTATTTATAACATCAAAAAATAATAAAAATTGAATACAAATAGAGCTGCAATTAATTATCTAAGATAATGATACTACATGCCCGGCAAAATAGTAGGCAAACATTAAAATATGTACATGAGTTATTTTTAGTCCTGTGAATCACATCAGGAGAGTAATATATGTATTTATTGCTAAAAGGGGTATTTTAACTTTATGTACAGGTATAAGCACACATGTGCACATATGTATCATGATCTCAACTACAAAAAAGAGAGCAGTCTAAGGCAAAATTCTGAAGTTAGTTGGTAATAGTATCATCCATAGGTAATAAGCTGATTGGAATTTGACTTTTCATCTAAATGATCTCCTTTATACAGTAAGTAGTTATGCGGATTTTATTTTAACCATATGTACAATGGGCATGATAACAACATAGATTTCTTATTATTTGCTCTTAAATGAGAAATGTTTCCAGAACTTCCTATGCAACATGTAGGATGTAGAAACACTCCACAAAATTGGTTTTTGTTATATTTCATATTCAAAAGAGTAAGTATGTGGTCCTTTAGCTAGTGACCTTGAGCTTTCTCTTCTCAAGTATAATGCATAAATAATGAAAGTGCTTCCAAGAGCTTTTGACATAATAAGGAAGAGAGACCAAACCCTTGGCATACGGTGTGCCACAAAACAGTGACAGTGTTTGAATGTATTGGAAAGGATTGAGAATAGCATGGAGACAAAACACAGACTACAGAGACATGAGTAAAACGTCAATGAAACACATTCATACACAAGACAAGAACACACACACACACGCACACACACACACACACACACACGAATGGTGAAGGGGCTTGGCATCTATTCACAGAGTAAAAGAATATCTGCCCTTTATGACTCAGACTTAAGTACCTTGCTTCTGAAATGGTCTCCTACAAAACCAAAATAAACTGCATTCAAATATTTCTTTCAGGAAAGCCAAGTGATGACCAAACCCAAGGTGTTTGTGGAGCACATTCACTTTCACTTAGAGCTCTATGCTATGGCTTCATCCTTCCATGTATAATAGTTCTATATCTTACCTAGATCTGCATAGTTAGACTTGAAAAATTGCTTCCGTCCACAAAAGTACAGCTCGAAGTCAGTTTCGTTCGACCTGCGTAAAGTATATCCATTCTCAAGAGCAGCGAAAGCATCACAGGTGTAACGGTAGGTGATGAAACCATAGCTGTCTCTGCAGTGGGCAGGTAAGAGACATTGAAAGCTAGTTAGGCAGCATCAGCACAGAGGACTGCTACCCCTTCTACTTTAGGAGACATCACTTGGGCCAGCGTCTCTGGCACCACATCCATTTATCAGTGTGATTGTCCTGTCAGGCAGCTAAATACTTATTCTGAGACAGGAAATCTCAACTAGAAAGATTAATAAATAGGGATGAAAGAAAATAAATAAGGTTCTGAACTCAACTTGTCATCTGTCAAAGCACTTACATTGGCAACTCCCATCCCAGTAATCTTAGGGTCATAATTTTTTACATACGTCAGCTTCTAAACAAGAAATAATTTTGAAGATTCTCACCCATCATCCCGCAGATTTACGGTGCATTCCTCAATTTCACCAAAAACTTCAAAGCGGTCTCTCAGTTCTGTCCGCGTTGTGTCAGGTCTGATTTTACCAACGTAAATCACACGGCGCTCTTCCTATAAGCAAAGAAGAAGGAGAGACTTTTTCTTGCTCTGGAGACAAAATGAAGATATGCCACTAGAAGCATCCATGAACACATAATAGTGTACAAAATCTCACAGAGCAATCTCATTAGAGCAAAACAGACACCACATTTAAGAAAAAGCCACATAGGGACCAAGTTTGACTTTTAATGCCTTAAGTTTATCCTTTCTGTTCACACTTAAGCTTTCTTCTCCACAGATATCTTTCCTACTTTTTCTGTCCCACTCTTGTTTTTCTTACGTTATGTTCAGAAAAGACATCCATGTGATAAATTCTTTTTTGTTTTTAAATCACTGAGTGGATTCTAGTACCTATGAAATATGTGAGCCTTTATGACTCGGTTAGTAATCTTCAGAATTGGTACAATAACAACCTTGGCTAACAAAAGTATTTAATTTCCCATCAACTCAGAATTCCAATCAGAAAATACACATGCTTTGAATTCCTTAGAGGGTGGGTTTTAATTACTAATACACCAAAAAGTTCCTGAAGGTACATGTTCAAACTGCAATTGCTGCACTCTATCCAGAAGCTAAACAAACAAACAAACAAACAAAAATTACCAGGAGAAAAACTATGACAGGAGGACACACAGAAATTCTAAAATATGTGGTCTAAAGACAATCATTTGGGAAACAGTATTAAAATGCAGGCCGTTTTTACCCATAGGTCTCTGAAGATTATGAGACAAATTTAAAAAGATATATAAATTGTACTTTGCAAATAAATACAGTCCTGTTTTAGGAACAGATTTGGAGGGGTGTGGCTCATTTCTACAAGAACTTGTCTGCATGGATTTTTTCCCCTACAACTCTTTGTTTACTTGACTTAAGTTTTTATGATGAACTTCTACAGGGCCCCAGTTATACTGTGTTCCTTCCACCTCAGTCTTTGTATTTGGTGTTCCACTGTAGTTTGGACCATATTTCCTAAATTGTACCCTAGGCTGCTAAGATAGGCTCTTTAGAATACATTAAGCTCCGCAGCTGTTTCATTTGAGACTGAGACTTCAGGTGAAGTGCTATTAGCTAATCTCATGAAATCTGTGTTTCCTGTGTAGTCCTCTGTTTAAGTACAATTAAATCGTTACAGTCTATTCATTGTTCAATGTTTCCCTCCCTTGTATAATGAAGAAGTTATGAAACTAGAGCCTATATATTTCCTATGCCACCCTTTATGTTAAGTATAAAAGAGATTCTCAATAAATATTTGATATAAGATTAATTAAAATCAATTAATATTTTTTACTTTATCTTTTAAAAGTACAATTATTTTGCCTGCATATAGGTTTGCACATCATATGTCTACATGTGTCCCTGATACCCATGAAGTTCAGAAAAGGACATTGAATTCTCTGGAACTGGAGTTGTAATGGTTTTGAACTCCCAAATCAATACTGCATCCTCTTCAAGAGCAAGCAAATAGTAGTCTTAGTAGCTAAGCACTCTCCCCAGTCCCCAATTAATACTTTATAACACTAACCCATGCCAGAGAGGTCTTGACTCTCTGGGATAGTCTAACACGAGATTGGTGCTATACGAGTATGGTCCTTTATTAAGGGAAAAGCCCTCCCTAAGCAGTTCAGCTGAGTGAGTTACCAAATGGAACAAACTGGTGGGTGAGAAATATTCAATAGATACATTTTTAGGCTATTATACAAGCAGACTCATTTTAAAAGGAACTCGGGAAATGAGAGGGGAGACTGCACTCAAATGGTTATCATAGATCATACCTCTGACCACAGCTATCAAGCCCACTAACTGGCCAATGAAGAAAAGCAAGCAGACACATGATTCATTTCCATGTAGATTGCATGTCACAGCTGAATACTAAAACTGTATTTCCGGAGCATCCAAGACAGTTGGATGGTCAGTAGCTAGAAATGGCTGGTGAGGCTCAAGTCTAAGCAATGCCTTACATGCATTATCAAGGGACTCATAACACAACATTCCGTTCTATTTACTCATCCAGTTTCAGCCCAACAGCCAAATGTGATGGGACTGTTATCTAAACTTAAACTTCCTGGCGCCGGCTTGTATGGTGTTATGCTTTTTTTTTTTTAATGACCCTTTTAGGAAAGTTACTACTGTGTAAAGAAAGGAGAGGGAACTGCAGAAGAGAAAGAAGGAAATTGAGCCATAGCACAGAAATTGCTCAGCTACCATTATGGGAATACACTCAGCCTATGTGTTCAAGGAAATGTGAACTTACAGCTAAAATCGACCATATGTGCAGACATATTGGGACAGTTTCTGAATTGCGCCTTTATACAAAGCTGTATGCAACAATGATCTTCACAAAAAGACGTAACCCAGAGGACCTTTTCTAGGACTGGGAGATTCTGCCCTGAAGGAAGACAGAGCTCGAAAGAGTTGCCCCACCATCGCTCAAATTTCTTTTTTACAAAACACAAGCCTGGGCCATGCCCTGCTACCTTACAAAGAGCAGAAGATTGAAGACAAGTTGGACTGCTCTAAAAAGTATTGAAGTCCTTTGTTTCCCACATGCTAAACATGAAAATAAATGAAAGAGACCTTAAGGTCTAGACTTTAAGGCAAAGACAAAAATCTATCCATGATTGGCCAAGATTTCCAGCAAAGAATCAGACTTTTAACATACTGAAGTTGAATTAGAAGGATGAATAGAGTTGCTATCTTTAAAAAAAAATAACATTTGCATCCAATTTTTCAAGACATTAATTTCTAAACAGGAGATGAAAGGAGAAGAAATCAAAATGCTTAATAACATTTCCGACTTCTTAAGGGCTGGAAGGAACTCAGAACCTTTGGAAAAAGCTGGTTGAAAAATTATTTTCAGACCAGTTTTCACTATTGAGGAGGATGGAACATTTATCAAATAACTTTTAGCTTCAATTTTCACAAAGGCCAGTTTGCTGATGGGGTGGATAATAAAATTGAAGATTTATGTTGCATTAACAGCCGCAGTAAATCCTCGTTACACTAAAACACGGGAGATAAATAAAGAAAAAAAAGTCTGATGGTATTAACTGACTTTGTTTTACTAAAATCTTTATCAGGAAGAGGAGAGCTTGCTGGTTAGCTGGGGAAATCAAGTGATGGTTGTTTCTCATGAAATAAGTGATTCTCTGAAAGAGGGATTTGGTTAAGGAGAGACGGGAAGCAGCCGGGACTTCACATTTGCTGAGCAATAGATAGGCAGTGTTAGATACTTTTGAGTGGATTCTCAGGGAAACGGCCTGTATTTGTAGACATTAGTGTGTCTGGTATAATTTCGATTTTGGTTCCCAGTATTTTCGTTGTACATTTGTAGTTTGGAGTAGCATAAATATTGTTAATTTTTCTTTCTCTACAAAGAGAAATCCATTTAAACCTTCAGAACAAAAGATTTTGGTTTTCAATTCTAGAGTACTTCTGGGGTAGAGCGTGTAAAGTCCTTGTGTTCTACACTCAACACCCCCCACCAACACACACAACACACTACACACACATATGCACACACATATGCACATACATGCACACACACACAAACACACACATACACACAGTATTATGTATATTATGCAGAACTGTACAGTTTAGTTATATAATTTTATCTTTTAAAAAGGTAACACAGTGAGAACCAGCTAGATATATAGCTAGTCAGAAAGAAAGAATAACTGAAAAATGACTGAAACAATATTGCCCTTGCTCTTAATGTTGAGTATACTTATGTAGTGGAGAAACAGTTTACTAAATGTTTCCTACTAGAGTGTATTTTGGGGACAGAAATAAAAAAACAACATTAAGATTTCCAAAACTACTTCTAGGTAAATACTATATAGAATCTTCCAGGCTAGAGTGTAAGGCTACCCTGAGTCAATCCAGGAGCTAACAATCAAGTAAAAGCTGAGATGCAACCAAATTTATAATATAATAATATAACTGATATAATATAATATATATAACTGATAATAGTATAATTTAAAAGCTTTATTTGAAAATAATTGGAATATAAAAGTTGCACTATTCAATGCAAATATTTTGGTGAATTTTGACATATGATTGCACCTGCTAAAACTTGACTATAATAAGGTATTAAATCCCTCGTTTTCTTATGTGCTTTCCCTCTGTCTGTCTGTCTGTCTGTCTGTCTCTCTCTCTCTCTCTCTCTCTCTCTTTCCCTCTCTCTCTATTTCTGTGTGTGTGTGTGTGTGTGTGTGTGTAGTGTGTTTTGTGTGTGCACTTAATATTAGATCTAACATTTAAACCTTTCAAAATGTGCACTGTAGGAATGATGTTATAACCAATTCTTTAGCATTTCTTTTTTCTCACAAAACTGAAAAATTTCCAAATACCAAACTTAAAGTCATGACACAATATATATTTCTCACTAATGAAAATTTCTTGAAAAGGCTAAATGCTCCAAAACCATGAAAAGGGGCTTATGTAGAAAACTGGATTCTTTTCTCTAAGAAGAATAACTGACATAGCTACATTTGGAGAGAGACATTCATAAGCAACAGTTTTGATGTCTTGCTTTTGGACCCTTGACTATATAGTAACCAACAGAGGAGAGCTCTGTGAGAGGCCAGCCATTTCTCAGAATCTTGGGTGGGTCTTAAGCACTGAGCCATATCATACTGTCTAGATTTGTTCTTTAAATTAACATCCCATTATCATGTTTTCTGGCAGAAACTGTACAGATTGTAAATGGAATTAGACTTGGATTTCAACAAGAAATTAAAACAGTGACAGTTCAGACACTAAGTACTAATATCTGGTGTTCATAGCTCCAGTGTAATATGAATTATTTTAAACTTAGGAGACAGAGAAAGGTGGGGAGTCCGTTTGGATTTTGAGATCGTTTGAACGGAAGTCACACAAAAGCAGACTTCGGTGCAATTGTAATATTCAATCATGACAGAGAATACTGTATTTGCAGTTTCTAATTGTTCCCATAGCTCTATGAAGATTTGCTCAAACTGGGAGAGTCTGTTAAGACTCTTAGGCCTCCAATTCATGACAGGAGTGTAGATCTCCTAGACCACTCTCCTTGAAAAATTCAGTGTAAATGCAATGCAGCCCACAAGACAAAACTGAATGCTTATTCTGAAAATTATCAATGACCACATTTTAAGATTTCTTAAGTTTCCTTTGGAACTATGGAATTGCTGGTCCCCTAGGTATATGATTGCTCTAGTTAGGAGATCATGCAGCATTGCATCCAAGACATCACAAACTCAAGTGGCTATTCATCCCATTACTTTTAAGGTCACTCAAAAATACTGAATAGAACTCGCCTATTTAGCTAACTTAGGTGGCCTCTCTTGGCTTCCATACCTACTTCCTGAATGGAATTTAAAGCAAATGAGTTAGTAATCATTGTAGGCAAGCTGTGCTCAAGCCTATAAAAGTAGTTTATTTTTAAATGCATCATGGCACATGAAAGAAAACCTTTAGGATGAGAAGAAGCAAATCAATTACAAAAATCTTCCTGTGGTTAAAGTCATTACACAGCGCCACTGTGTTTTCAAAACAGTTCAAAATCTTTAGCACGAGTTACAAGACTCCAAAACCTTCCAGTCACTGAGATCTATTGGCTGATTTCTGGTCCATCCTACCCTAGTGTCAGAGGTAAATCACTAAAGGTTCCAATTATAATGAACTATTTTCCAGAGAGACTTCCCAGGCACAGCCTCAACCTTGAGTAGCAATGTTCCATAAAAGCATAGCCCAATGTAGATAGTCGCAAAATTTCCAAGAGCCACATTAACATAAAAAGAAATAAAAAATAGTAACAAAACATACTATTTATCTCAAAATCCTTAAAATGACTCATGATAGATGCAAAAGCACTTGGAACTTTCCCACTGTTTTTCATGCTAAGTTTTCAAAATCCAATCACGCAGTCCAACTTAATTCCATGTGACTCATTTAGGGTGCCATACTTGGCATGCTAATTGCTAAAAAAAAAAAAAAGCCTTTGCCCTCCCCACCTTCAAAATTTTGATCACTTTTAATTTCCCCAAGTTTGCTCTTTCTCACCCACAAATCTGATGACCACTTTTAACCATGTACCTTAGGTGAACCCTCTGCCATGCCACTAATCACATCTTATTTCCAGCTTATGCAACTTTATCTACCAACTGATTTTAAGCTCTTTAGATCCAGGTACCAAGTCCTACCTAAATTTACATCTCAAGCACCTGGAGTTACTTGCCACCAGACTTCATGTGTGTTCAACAGAAACCTATAAATCACCGTGTTCGTAAACAGTTTCTGTTCCCTAGGTCTTTTTCAAATGCTTTTTCAAATCTAAATAAATAACCAATGCCAAAAATCTCACTAGTGCCTAGTATTTAATGCATAATATTTTCATAAAGCCAAATTGGCATTTGGATTACTCCAAGTCCTCATTCAAAGGGTACTGATAAAGACTGTCTTGATCAAACAATTAAACCAACATTTGAGAGACAAAGTGAAGTGAGGGAGAGTTTAAGAATGCTTTTGTATCATCAGGACTAATGGCAGATTATAAGATATTTTTAGAGACATTTAAGACAGCAAAAGCTGTTTGTCTCCCTTCCGTTATTCTAATTAAGTATCAAGACTTAAATTATTTGGTAGGCACAAAATAAATACATGTCATTTATCTACATATTTTTGATTAAAACATTCATCTGTCTTTGATTAGAACTGCACTGTACTTTGCCCAAGTGAGCAAATACCCCATATTTAAGGAAAAAATATCAAGAACTTTATATGATATAAATTTACAAACAGTAAATGCAATGAATTGGCAAACACTGTCAGTGCATGGTCTCTCAATGTGGTTCTCTTTTGTAATGAGAAACTGCACTGTATGCTGTGAAAAGGCTTTGTAAACTATACAGCACTCATAATATGAGTTATGATAATTGTTTATAAGGCATTAATTAAATACACCGGTATTAGAAAAGTTGAGACGTTCATTTTCATTAGTCTTTCTAAGTGTGAACTAATGACACTCTGGCAAATCTTTGCATCACAGCTTATTTGAAAGTCAAGAAAAGATGAGTGTTATAATTTGCAGAATGCCTTTGATTCTGTTCTTGGTAGATCTGGAATTAAATGGCAGCCAACACCCAGAACTTCAACCTAACCGTTCCATGATTTCTCAATTCTGTTGCTTTCAATATTTATGATTACTAAACCTCCCATTAAACCTTTCTTTTCTAGTTGGTGACAATCAGCTAAGACTTTATTTGACATCATCAGTGAATTTATCAAATTTTTATATTACTGACTTTGTTTTATATGTCAGGAACTCAGCTTTAATGGCTAGAGCTTATTTCTTTAAAGCTTGGTTAGCTTATAAGCAAAATATGTCAGATGCTGCCTTGCACAGCAGTGACTTGGAGTGGCTAGCACAGACAGGCAGCAGGTGCAATGAACCAAAACAGTACCATATCTCATCGATTAGCCACAGCTCCCAGGAGCACTATGTTGGGAAAGACCCTAAGGCTCTGTGGGACCTTAGAGGGACAGAGTTATGTGATTGATTACGAATGTCTGCCATGGGCATGTGCTGGATTTTGACTACCTGAGTGCCACAGTTTTTGCCATCCACAGTCCATGATGATTTGTAGTAACAAGAGAAATCTGGGTCCAGACTGCATATTAACAGCTAGTAAAGGACAGTACTGGATTTTAGGGAACAAATAGGTTCAGCATAATCTGTATCTTCACTCATGAGCATCAGTCAGCATTGCCCACATGGTAGGTGACTGTATCAACTCACCCTCCAGTCAGATACTGGCCATCAAAGGTGAGAAATGCTGACTTTCTTAGCCAGACTAGGACTATAAGTGGGATGTAGAAACTCCTGATGCTCTACTCAAAGGAAGAGGCATCAGGAAGCAACTCAAAAATAAAAATAAAAATAAAAACAAAAAACAAATAAACAAACAAAAGACCAAAAGAAACAACCCATGTTTTCCAACTCCTACCAAACCAAAGATACCTTTTCTTTCTCCATTTTTTTTTCAAAACAAAACTTGGGAAAGTGAACAAACTTCATGACTCAGCTATAATGAGAAATAGTAATACTGACACCATTTTTTTTCAAATAAGAGGGTCTTAAGATTCTTTAAAGCCAAAAAGTCAAATATTTTCCATGAACAAAGCATTAACTTTTAATTAATGTTTAATCTAAAAAAAAAAAATTCACAGAGGAAAAGAAAAGAGAACAAATTCACTCCATGCTGCTTACAATTGCTTTCTGCTTCTGCCTCTCTCTCTGCTTGGCCCTTTCAGACTCCCGCTTCTCATACTCTCTGCGGTATTCATCCCTCTTCAGCCTTTCGTGCTCATATGCTTCATAGCTGTCATACCTGGGAAATACAACTTCATCATTAAGTCAACCATCTCCATGCATGAAAATATACATCAGCATTTGGGAAGGGGAGAAAAAAAGTTTGGGGTAATGTCTTGCCTTCTAAGGGAAGGATGGGGAGCAGAAGGAGAAGGACAGGCCTCATTACCTGGGCCTACGGCTGTAGGGTGGTGACCTTGAACGTGATCTCACATACAAGGGAGAATTGCGGTGTGTGCGGTGTCTGTAGTGGCTTGATTCATAGTAGTAACAGGATCTGGGAGAGAGGAGAAAACCGAAAGGACATTTGCAACTGCCACTTAGCGCAAGTTTACCGGGACCACTGAGCATCATTGGAGTGCCTTTTCTTTCCTAGCAAGATCTTCCAATGACAGCTTGCGGTTGGCTAGTCAGCCTGGAGACCAAGAAGTGATCAACATCTTTTCCAAATCTGTTATAGATATTAGCATAGCTGAAGGGAAGGGCACGTTGTCAGGTTTATCATTCATGGGTCTCAACACTGCGGGGATAGGGCTGCTTTTCAGGTAGTGGAAAAAAACAGTGACACAAGCAAGTTTCTTACAGGTGGCTATATGTGTTCTGATTGGCCAAGATAAAGTCCTCAGAGCAGTGTGTGTGAGAGAAGATGGAGGGGAGAGGCATGTAAAATCCTCAGTTTGTTACTTGAGAGGCTCCAGAAGAGCAATCCCGAGGCTGGACATTTTCTACGACTTCTTGGGGAAGACTTTAGCACCAGGAGGGGTTTAACAACCTTACCTTGAAGAGGATCTACTGCCTGGGGACCTTGATCTTGACCTGGAATATGGTGATCGGGAACACGACCTGTGTCGAGAAAAGGATCTTGAACGAGAACGCATCCTTTGGGGTCTTTGAGAAAATAAGGATTTCGGCGGTGACACTGAATCTCGACACGGAGAGTTAAAGGAAGAGCAAGAAGGCGACACATCGAACAATGAATAGGACTGCGTGCCATCCCAAGGGTAGCTCAGTTTATCACTTTCATCTTCACTGTCGTCGAATAGGCCATCCATGGCTAGTCCTGAATTTATAAACACAGGTAGTTTGGAGAATTGTTCATTACTGAAGTCGCCATCCCTTAGTTCACTGGTCTTGTCTGATTTGTCGTCAAAAACAGCTTGACTGGGATGACCGAAGTGCTTGTTCAGCTCAGCTCGGATTTCCTGGTCTTGGAGCTGTTTTCTGGTGCTACAAGGAGAGACCTGCTTGCTGGCCTCCAAAGTCTCTCTCAGGTAGCACTGGCCTGAATCTGTGGAAGAACAGATGTGCCCCTGACAGTCACAGGAGGCATCTTTGAAGTCTAGTTGTCTAGAGTCTTGGAGCTCCTGTGATATGTTAATGAGTATATCCGTTTTGGAATTGAGTGACTGACAGTAGTCATGGTCACCAAACAGTCGTAGACTGGGCCGTTTAGTCTTCCTTTCCTCGTGTCCTCGGCTGAGCACTGAGGACTTGCTGAGTTGTGCGTACAACTCGGATTGCTCAGGCCCTTTCTTGGTGGAGTGACTGCCTTGGGTACCAGAACACTCACTGTACCGGGCCCTCTTTGTTGGCGGTGGCACCACGGTCTTGCAAGAGGGCTTCAGCTTTGGCGAAGCCTTGAAAGGGTTATCTTGGTTGGCTTTATGAGGAGGAGTCGTAGGAGGAGTTAGGCCTATGACAAAAGATAAACAAAAAGAAATGTAGGAGAAAAAAAGAGAGAACGGAGATGGAGAAAATGTTCTCCAAGGATGAACATACTTCCTAACTTTTCTTAGATTTCAGACCATAGTTAAAGCCGAGTGAAGAAGAAGGAAATTAAATCCATGACAAGGCCTGAAAAATGGACTCTTCTCCTAGGCCTCTGTCACCCAGAAAAGATGGATAGACAATGGCAGGCAGCTGCGAAGGCTGTGATATTTTGTAGATCAAACATCTATGCTAACAAATCCTGCTGCCTAGAAAACAGGAATGTGTCACTGCCAGTTGACTCAGAAGCAGGCATCACCAACACTGGAGTTTTTTTTTTGGTTGTTGCTGGGGTCACTTAAAGGGAATTGATGTGTTGGGACCTGAGAATCATGAAACAGCCTTGGTGGCATTTATCTGCAGAGAATGCTGCAAGGGAAAAAAAAGTGATTCAAGGCTCTTTGAACAATCAAGAATGTACCTGTGGGGCAATATTGAAAATAAAAATTAAAAAAAAAGACTAAAGAGAGCAAATTTTATTCATGGTGGAAATTATACACACAGATATCTTTGAAATAAGTTCAGCAAAATCGGATGGCCCCACTGAACACAGGGAACCAGAGCCCCTCCACAACTTGAAGGCAATGAGTCTTTGTCTCCACAGTTCATTAACTTAGTAAACCATGGCTAATGTAGGTATAATACATTCTTGTAAGCATAACTAATACATTCTGTCTAAAATATGGTTCTGCAACAGAAAGCTAAGTGCAAAGTAGCTCTAAATATCACCGTGCCGGGGGACCATTTTATTTAGAGCACATCGTCACTGGGGTGATAAGATATAAGGACTGAAAGGAATCCAAGTTTCAGCAGCTAATTACATAAGGAACAAATAAAGGAAGACTGGGGTGCCTATGGGTTGGTGCCTTGTCTGCCTTACTACAGTAAATTCTAAAGGGTGGGCTATTCTGAGACATAGTAGTCACCTCTAAGGCTCACCCATGAATAAACTCTATCCATCCCATCATGCCCAGGAAGAACCACTGTGAAGCTCCACTGTCCAAGGAACTTTGAAGGTGGGCAGGCTACAGTTTAAATAGCTTTATTCTTACAAGGAAACATTTTAGTTTACAATAGATTTTATACTTAGGAGAATGGGTGAATGCTATTCAGAAGAAAAAGACTTCAAACCAGTTAACAAGCCTGGGGTGCCAATGTAAGGCAACTGTGCATGTCAAGGAGGAAAAATTCCTATCTTGCAGGGAAAAAATATAAATATGTCAAGAACCATGTAGGTCACAGAGAGCCACATGAAATTTTGCTATAAAATAGAAATTTTGTCTTGTTCTCCTATTTGTTTTGTTCTCATCTTTATAAAGATGTGGAAGAAATTAATATTTTCTCTTTAAAAAGATTTTGCGCCAATCTTTGGCGTTTTAGCTTGTTGAGCTAATAATTATCTCAGTGGAGAAAGGCAGAGAACATTCAGAAACACAATGCAGAAATACAGGCACCAATGTTCTTCCCTTGGGCACCCCTGAGTTGCAAAGGAGCTGGCTTGGTCCATGTGCTCATTCTTTGCTTCAGCAGAGAAGTAGGTAACCTTTTTCCAGCATGAAACTTCTGTGCCATTGAGGTGAATGGCTTGGTTTTTTTGTTTTGTTTTGTTTTTGTGTTTTCCTTTTGTTTTTGTTTTTTGTACCCCTCTCCTTAGAGATGAGCAAAGCAAGACTTGTTTCCAGACTACGCAGTTCCTATTCCTTTTGTTTATACTTTGTATTGCTCTGTTCTTGTGTTGAGATTTCTACCACAGGTTATCTTTGGTGAACAAGGCAACACATTTTAAAATTCTCAAAATGTGTCAGTTCTTGAACACTCCCCACTGGAGACAAAGACACTAAAAAACTGAAGATGAGGGAATGGGGAGAGGACTCAACTGTATAGTTCCTATTGCAAACATAAGTACTCTCCCCCTCCCCTTAAAATACTCAGCAGCCATGTCAAAAGTCTGGTGTGGCAGAATATAATCTCAGTGATGGGCGTTAGACACAAATGAATTCCTGAAGCTCATTGGCTAGAAAGCCTCACCAAATCCATGAGATCGAGTTCAGTGAGAGACTTTGTCTCAAAATGAATAAATAAATAAATAAATAAAAGTGAAGAGTGATGGAGTAAAGCCATCTGATTTTAAAACCTGACTTCCACACCCACCTACGCAATGTGTACCACACATGCCCATGCCAACATCAACAACTATCTACTCCAGACATACATACCACATCACACACACACAGATACATACATATACACACATACACACTAATGATGAGTAAGCTGAATAAGTGCCTATAACTGCCAGTCAAACAAACAGAAAGAGAGAGAGAGAGAGAGAGAGAGAGAGAGAGAGAGAGAGAGAGAGAGA